TCATGATAAAGGTGTTGTTTTGGAAAAGAGTATTTAGAAATACTTTGCATAATATAATAAATTTGAAAACTGAGGAAAGAAACATGTGCTTTTGGTAGTTTGGTCATATATTCCAAATCTAAATATAGCAAAGAGCATTGGGATTGGTAAGCAAGTAAACAGTGATTCATTGTGTCATGTATTAATTGACTTTGCACAAGTATTTAACCTTCATGAGTTTCAATTTGTCCCTCTACAAGAGTTTTTCATCGGACCTGTAAGTTTCTCTACAGACTAACATTTTATCTTTCATTCATTTAACAAGTACTCACTGAGCACCTATTATACAAGCACCTAAGCTCCAGAAATAGATGATGAAGAGGAGACATGAGGTCCTCAACCTCACAGAGCTTAGATTCTGAAGGACACCAAATAAGGAAAGAAAGAAACAAGATTCTTTAGATGGTAGACTCTGAGGTCCGAAACTGGAGGAGAGCTGTCCGTGGGGAACAATGGTAAGGGATTCTCAGATTCAGGAAATGGCAACAAGCACCAAAACTAGTAGGAAGAATAGACCAGGCATTTTGAGAAACAAAAAGGCCAGGGTGAAGTGGTTCTCATATCTCTTAAACTATTACCCTGAACCCACATAAGAGGATATGTAAAGTCACATGCTAATTACTAATCAAAGGACCAAAATCTGTCCGAAATTGCAGGTATCTGTCCCATCTGAAGTTTCCAGGGAGGAGCTATCAACAGTTTTAGAAATGTGATACCCCCAGCTTGTTCTTCTTTCTTAAGGTTGATTTGACGATTCAGTCCTTTGTGTTTCTATACGCACTTTAGGACTGTTTGTTCTAGCTCTGTGAAAAATGCTGCTGGTATTTTGATAGGGATTTCATTAAATCTGTAGATTACTTTGGGTAGCGTGGACATTTTAACAATATTGGTTCTTCCAAACCATGAGCACGGAATATCTTTCCATGTTTGTGTTGTCTTCTGTTTCTTTCCCCAGTGTTTTATAGTTTTCTCAGTACAAGTCTTTCACCTCCTTGGTTAAGTTTATTCCTAGGCATTTTATTTTCTTTGGTGCAGATGTAAATGGGACTGTTTTCTTAATTTCTTTTTCTGCTATTTCACTAATAGTGTATAGAAACACAACTGTTTGACATTGTACATGCATTTGGCTGTAATGAACAGAAAACCCAACTCAAAGTGAATACATTTGAGCAAAAGCATACAACTAATGATGATGATAATAATAATAATAATTAGTAGTAGTATGAGACTAGCTTTGACCAGGCATTTAATCCTCTGATGCTTACAGAACCTCTATGAAGTAGGGATCATTATCTCATTTTAGACTCTAGGAAACCAAGGCTGAGGCAGATCAACTCAATTGTTTAAGATCTTGTTGCATTTAAGGGGAAGAGCTGGGATGTTTGAACTTCAGGCTCATGGCCCTTCCACTAAATGTAAAGACTCAAGTTCCCCTCCATCTCCCAGAGGTTATAACCAACTAGAAGCAGCCCACAAATTTGCTCATTGGAGAACAGAGGTAGATCTTAACCAGAAACTAGCTCTATGAGGCTACCTTTTCCAGGTCCCTCGAGCGGGAGACCATTTTAATGCAGTCAAACAGTGCTATTCAAATATAACCTACCATTATTGTTGCCATCATTATTATTAATTGGCACTTCCAAAAACAGGTTAAGAATGCGTACACTGGATCTCGTCCGCCCTGATAATAGGAGCCTCCAAATTAAATGATTAGCTTGGATGCTGAGGAGAGACCAATCAGGAGTCGTGAGGACCACAGTCCCGCATTAACAGTTGGCTCAAAGTAGGGGCTGGTGTGGTTACTGGTAGGACTCTGGGCAAAGCATTGGGTTTCTCTGGCTTGCAAGTAGGTCCCTCAGGCAAGGTGGCCAGAGGCGACAACTAATACTCCTTCACAGGTTGAATGGCCACGGTTGGTGCCTCCTGCCATGTTTGTCTTGACTTCTTGGCTATCACCTCCAAAATGTACATCTGGTGATTATTCACTCTTAAGTTAAAAAAATGGAGTGGGGAACTCTTCATTCTTTGAGGAGTCTCCCTATGCTTCTCTTAAGCTTCTGGCTCTCGATCTGCATCACTCTGCTCTTTAAGGCCTGCAGCCTCTTCACCAGATCTGGGTTGCACATTTGTGTAAGGGTCAGCAGAACAAGGTGGCCAAAGCTTGGCCCAGGGGCAGGATATATCTGAGTGCAAGTCCCTGTTCTCACACTCACTATAAATCCTAGCCTAATCATCTTATTAAATAAAAGATTAAATGAAACAACACATAGAAAATGCCTGCAACATGGCAGAAGCCCCCAGTGCAGGTTAGCAATTATTATCAGCATCATTTTAATTGCCAAACCCCATACCCTTCATATATCTCATTACTCAAAACGACTCCGATGCATCAGACAAGGAGAACCAACTTATTGAGACCCCTTTCTCCTTTATCCTTGTCACTTCCCCATCCCCTGGTCATTCTGCTTATCTTCTCTCTTCCTTTCCTTGCTATCCTTTTTTGTATCCTTCATAAGTGTGGCATTTAAAAATTGTAAATAGTCTTTTTTTTTTAAAGATTTTATTTATTTATTTGAGAGAGAGAATGAGAGAGAGCACGAGAGGGAAGAGGGTCAGAGGGAGAAGCAGACTCCCCGCTGAGCAGGGAGCCCGATGTGGGACTCGATCCCGGGACTCCAGGACCATGACCTGAGCCGAAGGCAGTCGCTTAACCAACTGGGCCACCCAGGCGCCCAAAAAATTGTAAATAGTCTTGATAGTATCTTTCTACCAAATGGCTCTTGAGCATTTACTAAAATGAAGGGTGAGATCATACAGCTGCTCTTCAATTCTTAAAAAAAAATAAAATAAAATCCAAAGATGAAAAATTCCTTGTATTTAAGTCAGTGTGCTTGCCCACCAAGATTGGAACTGCCCATTGACCGATGCGGTGGCGGGGGGGCGGAGGGTCTTCACTTCCTCGGAAGACCCTTCTCTGGCCACACTCTTGTTCAGTCCTTGCATTTGTGCATACTCATTAGATTCTTATACTTTTATTTATCACAGTTCATAAAATTTGTGTGTGTGTGATTTAATTAATCTCTGTATCTCTCTCATCAGCCTCTCTATTCCAGGACAATAGACTGAATCTATCACTGTTTTCTCTCTATCATTATTTTCTAGCACAATGTCTGGTACAGAAGAGATGCTTGATAAAGATGTGTTGATACTGTTGTTCTTGTCATTATGCGCTCTGGTTGTTGCTCTTGTGATTTTGGCTATTAGAATTTTGTATCTACTGAGCCATTAGGAATTGTGTTTTGAGGAGGAAAGAGCTGTGGCATTTTGAGTTAGCCAATCTGGCCTGGTCAAATGAGAAGCTAAGGGCCACTAGGGTATTTGGAGCTCTCTGAGAGCCAAATGCCCATTAAGAGCTTGGCACTTAGAATAGGAGCTTTCAATTGATGTCCAGGATAGAGAGAGTAATAGGTTCTTTCCAAAGACATGAGCTAAGACAAACATGCAGGACCAGATATCTAATTCACAGGGTCCAGTTCAAAATGAAAATGCAGAGCCCCTTGTTCAAATATTATTAAGAATTTCAAACAGAGCCATAAATACAGAGAGAACAAACGGGTGGTTGCCAGAGGGGAGGAAGGTGGGAAGATGGGCAAAAAGCGCGAAGGGAAGTGAGAGGCATAGGCTTCTAGTTATGGAGTGCGTAAGTCACAAGGATGAAAGGTACAGCACAGAGAATATAGTAAGTGGTATTGTACTAGCATTGTATGGTGACAGAGGGTAGCGACGCTTGTGGTGAGCAGAGCATAATGAATAGAGATGTCAAATCACTATGTTGTACTCCTGAAACCAATGTAACACTGTGTATCAACTAAACTACAATTGGAAAAAAAAAATTAAAATTAAAAATAAAAGAATTTCAAGATGGTGATAGAGAGCATCAAACCAAGTATAGGGTCCTGTCTGAGACTGCATAGGTTGCATACCCATGAAGCTGGACTTGAAAAATTTACACTTAATCAGGAAAATCTGGAACATTAAGTTTACAATTTTCTGTTAGACAATCAAGGGAGTTTTGTATTTATGAAAAAATAAGATCTTTTAAATATCCAGATATATTTCCTTTCTCTGCATACTGAGGTTGTGTCTTCCAAAAATAATGGCTCCTTCTGTCCCTTTATCCAATGGGGCCATCTCTATGTTTCCAAAGGTTCTATTAAGGCAGACTGGTTTGCCCCTCCGTGAATAGCCCTGAACTCCTTGCTATACTGAAACACCCCATTGGCTCTTCAGCCATGCAGAGCTGGCCTCCATCTGAGGCTTCAGAGTCCAAATGGCATGGATTTTGAAGCCAAAATGGGTTCCAATCCCAGCTCCACTATTTATAGTTCAATGACTTAAAGCAAATTACTTAGCTTCCCTAGAATCTCGGTTTCCTCATCTATAAAATATAAGTGATGCTATCCAGCCCAAGAGGTTGGCCTTGAGGATTAAATAAGGTAAAATGTTTAGAGGGCTGAGCACAAAAACACACAACAAAATGAGGACACAGCCTCGTTGCATTTTGCCTCTGCTTTAGTCCAAACTGAATGCGGGAGCGCGAAGTGCCTTCTAGCAGGGGAACCCCAGCTCTCCCCGCTCTCCGTCACTGAGCCCTATAAATAACTTAGCTAAGTCACCGTCCCCCTTGGAGTCGCTGTTCCTTAGGGTGAGGAAAGAGGGTGTTGTTGCAGGTGGTCCCTCTTGGCTGAATCCTTCCCGGGTTTTCTCTTCCTTCCACCACCCCTCCTGGGGAACCCCTCGCTGGGGTCGGCGCGTGCGGGGCCTGGCTGCAGGACCCCCTCGGCCGCGGGCCCCCACTCGCCCCCCGCCTCCCCCGTCCCGGCTGTCGCCGCGCAGCCCCGCCCCGCCCCGCCCCGCCCCGCCCCGCCGCCCCGCCTCCCCCGCGGCCCGCGAGCGCTCTCGAGCCGCCCGTCCGCTGCCGGCTGCCAGTCCCGCCAGTGCGCTGGCGGGCGAGGGGCGGCGGGCGCGCGGGACGGGCGTGCGCACGGGCGAGGTCGGGGGAGAGCGCGTGGGCGGCGGGGAGACGATGGGCGTCCCTGGGACCCGCCGCTGAGCTAGCACGAGCGACGGGAAGGCCAGCCTCTCTGTTCCTCCGGGAGCCCAGCACCGTTCCCGCGCCGCCAGGATGATCCCCCCGAGCGGTGCCCGCGAGGATGGCGTGGACGGGCTGCCCAAGGAGGCGCCGCGCGCCGAGCAGCCGCCCTCTCCAGCATCCACCAGCAGCCAGGAATCCAAGGTACCGCGCACACTTACCCCAAGAAAACACGAACTCACTCTCCTCCTGTTCTTCTCTCGGTCCACCTTAGTTTCCCCCGAACTGGCGCGGAGGCTGGCGGGAGACGTGCCCCTAATGGGACCCGGGCTCCCCTGAGACTTGAATGTCGGTCAGGACTCGCTGTAACGCTGCTGGACCACGTCGCGTGGACCCAGCCTCCTGCCCACGCAGACCCGAGGCTGCGCTGGCTTCTCCCCTCAAGCACACGCCGGTTAGTGCGCACTGACTCCGGGCTCAGAGACCGCTTTCCTGGGTGGTCGGTGGCTTGGTGGTTCTGTGCTTTCAGCCTGCTGGTGCCCAAAGCACGTGTAGGTGTTAGCTGCTTCTGAAAGATGATAGCGAGGGATACACCTCCAGAAAAGCTAGGGCGCTTGCGGCCAGTAAAGGGTTGTCTGTGTCACAGGAGTCCCCGAGACTCTGCTTAATTTAAGGACTCACCCCTAACTTCAGAAAAGCTAAGCAAAGGGAAAAGCCGCATTCGTGGGAAAGTTGAGGTTCCTCTTGTGGAAGTTAATAGTTGGAGAACTTACACTTGCTTTTATGAGTTACACTAACACACGCACAAAGCCAGCTCCGCAGCGCTTCTGCCACGGTTCCACTTCCTCTGAGACTCCCGTGGGGGCCGGGCACAGGTTTGGAAATCTTGAAAGAGGATCGAGTAAAATGTGCTGCCAGCAGTGACATGCCAAATGGCATCTTAGCCTGGGGTGAAAATCATAAAATGGAGTTTGTGGTGATATGGATTTCTTTAAGTGCAGGGCTCCTGGCTATTTATACAGATCTCCTTGTGAATTCCCCAGGTATCTTTGGAATGCTGGGCAGTTCCTGTATAGGAGTGAAGGGAAGGTGGATGCCAGTTTGGAGAGCAGGACAGATGGGGCAAAGAAAAGTCCCATCCCTCTCTCCCTTTAGGTACATCCCTAAAAGCCATTGACAAATCAGCAGGATCAAAATCACAGCCAAGTGGCTCTTGGTTTAAGCGATGCTGGGCACTCTACACATCTCAGCCTCTGGAAGTTAACCATCAAAGAGAGAGAGCTTTACATTATCTTTATTTTGTCTTTTTTTTTCCCCCGATAAATGTCTGATCTGGGGCATGTGTGTGTCAACTTTTCTAAAACTCGGTTGGAAATGGGGGCAAAAGCCCCTCCTTCCAGAGTCGCTGTGAAGAATACATAAAATGAACCAGGGCAGTGTAAGGACTCTATGTTTATCCTTTTCCTTTCTGAGATCAAGGGGATCCACCCCACCACAGATGATCCACTCCTAAGCTGTTTCATAACCTGCACACACATACGACCTCTCCTCTGACTGGAAGTTTCTGGGCATCTCATCATTGTCTATCATCGACCATCAGCCACCTAAGGCATATGGGTTAGTGCCCATTTTGAAGATGATCTCGTAGATTGTAAATGAGCGCAGCAAAACTCAGGAGTGAAACTGGTACTAAACTTTTTGAAATGGGCCTGTTGCTCTGCAGTAGGTGTGTTCTGGAAAGGGCTTAGCATTTGCGTATACAGTGGCATGGTTTAAACACACTATATGGGTTTGCTATTTATAGATATCCTGAGGCAAATTCTTTGGCAGAGAAAAAACTACATATGTAATACCCATAATTATCCACTGATTTATCTGACTATGCTTTCAAATTTGTACATGCCAGTTTTTCTCAAAGTGGTCTACACACCTGAAGTGTGTGTATATGTTCTGAAATTTGTCATGGCTTAGGTGTTCTTAATCAGTGGAGATGGCCTGGGGGGGAGGGGATGGGCCATGAACCCCAGGAAATTGAATGCAAAATAGCGTGCCTGAATGTCAATTTTTATGGTGTAGCATTGGTGATGTTCTAAAAGGGGTCCAAGCCCTCAAAAAAGCTCAGCTCCTAGTATGGAGGAATATGTGGTAAGGGGGCAGGAGGGCATGAAACAGGAGCAGAAGAAGGCTGTATTTATTTTACACCAGGAGTGCCAGATTTGAAAGCTCACTGCTGTTTATAAGGATCTTCCACCCTGAAGATGAGAGCATAGTAAGGAAAGTATGAACAAGGTAATGGTAGTCATTCCACCTTACTCCTCTCAAGTGGTCTGTTTGTGAACATACAACATGGGTTAGGCCTCTCTGGGCATTAAACTTCCGCAAGAAAGACTTTTAAAATTACCTTCTAAAAGACTTTTGTTCTCTGAGTATAAGGGTAACAAAATACTCTTTGTAGAAATTGAAAAGCCCAGACAAAAATAAAGGGGAAGAAAAAAATGACACATTGGCTCACAATCCAGCGACAACTACTGATAACATTGTGATCTATATTGTACATCTTTTTTATAAGATCCATTTTTATATTTACACAGTTGAAAGAACTCTGGTTAGCATCTACTGAATGCGTGCTGCATGTCAGGTACAACTTGATTCTTCACAATAACCCTATGAGAGAGATTGCCTGTTTCTTTGATTTTATGAATAAGGAAGCAGAAGCTCAGAAAGGTTGGGTGACTTGGCCAAGATCACATAGCTAGTTGAACGACACAGGAAGGACAGAGCCCTGGGCAGCAGAGCTCTGGAGCCCAGCCCCCACCACAACTATCTGTCATGCTTATGTATTGTTTCACTTTCTCCTGGTTCCCCTAACATGCTAAGCACGTATTTCACATGCCACTCAAAGTCATTTACAGCAGTATTTTGGTCTTCTCTTAAGAAATCTTTGAAAACAAATTGAGCCACATGTGAAATGATTAGACCAATTTTTGTCTCGCTTCTTTGTGTTTGGTTTTACTACTCTTCCTCCAAAAATATATTTATGGAGATAATTAAATGTAATGTCACAGAAATATCTGGAAAAGGAGGCCACAATAAACCCTTTAGTGCAGAGTCCATTAGGAGAGGAGGAGGATGGTTCAGTGCCCTGAGCCCATAGCATGTTTCTGGAAGTCCATTTCCTTTGCAGATTCTTTGGAATGCTACATCATAGATTATTGGAGTTGGAAACATTAGAGATCATCTAGTTGGAGTATTTTTTAAATTATAGATAATTTTTATTGTGTAAATTTATTTTAGTATGGAAAATTTCAACAGACACAAAAGTAGAGAAAACAGTATAAAGAATAGTCATGGAACGGGGCGCCTGGGTGGCTCAGTTGGTTAAGCGACTGCCTTCGGCTCAGGTCATGATCCTGGAGTCCCTGGATCGAGTCCCGCATCGGGCTCCCTGCTCGGCAGGGAGTCTGCTTCTCCCTCTCCCACTCCCCGTTTGTGTTCCCTCTCTCGCTGTGTCTTTCTCTGTCAAATAAATAAATAAAATCTTTAAAAAAAAAAAAAAAAAGAATAGTCATGGAACTAATCACCTGGCTTCCCCAGTGACAAATTCATGGATGATCTTGTGTCACCTGTTATCCCCCCTACCACCACCATCCCTCCCCAAATACACTGGATCATTTGAAAGCAAATTTCAGACTTCAATTTATTTCACCCATAAATATTTCAGGTTGCATCTCTAAAAGATAAGGGCTTTTTGGCAAGCATGACTACAGTTCCATTATCACATACACCAGGTGTTTTCAGTCAAGGGTTAGTATGTTCTTTGGGGGTCCACGAAAAATCTTTGGAAGATCCATGAACAACCAGAATCCGCATTCAGAATTGTGCAGTTACGTGCAGAGTTGCATCACCTGGGGAAAGGATCCATAGCTTGTATCAGATCAGTGAAGTATCTATAGCCCTCAAAGTTTGTCGAAATGGCTTCTCTTTTTCTCTTGAAATCAAAGCCAAGAGAGAGGCAACGACTTGCCTAAAATCACACAGATTGTTAACAGCAGGACTTCTGTTTAAGAAAGCTCTCTTGGACTTTGGATACTCCAGGACAATTTCCTCAGGGCATATTCCTGTAAACCGAAGTAGTAATGTAGTTTATCTGTTTTGTTTTTGTTTTTGTTTTTGTTTTTGTTTTTTTTCATAAAATTAGTTGAATCGAAAGAATGTGAAAGCCACCCTTCTATCTTTCCACTAACTATTCCAGAAAGACCACAACCTCATTTTTTCTTAAGTGCTAACAGAGACTATTGAATACTAAGAAAAAATGTCATGTTTCAGCATCCCTTATTTCAATGAATATCCCTTCTCCTACTGACTTACAACATGAACTCTTACTAGGGTCTAATATGAAGGTTTTGTGTGGATGCCCTTTGAAGTCACTTACATGACCCAAGATCGCATTTTGATGCCGTGGAGAGATTATAGGTTTTGAGGTCAAATAGACAAGAGTTGAGATCTTTTCTTATCAGTTGCCCTGTGACTCTGGGCTAGTTGCCTAGCCCCTCTGAGCCTCAGCTTCCTAATCTCTAGAATGGGGATGCTTATACCCAGCTGACATGGGTTTTTTGTAAGGTCTGTGACCTAATATGTTATAAGCATGTATAAGCATGTAACATTATTTACTTTCTCTTCCTGCTTCACATTAGATGACTTCTATCCCTAGCCAACCCCAATTGTCATCCCTAGAATCATTTCAGTAACAAAAACTGATGTTCCAATAGTATAACTGAGTTTTCCTTCCTTTAGATTTTACTTATGCTGTTGAGTGCAGTTTTCACCTTAGCTGTTTTGCATCCCAGGAAGATAAGCCATTGACTCACCAGCCTGTGGCTTCATTTTGGAAGGGTGATATAAGCTACCCAGTGGCCCATAAGAGCCATGGACCAAGGAGTCCCCTCATTCCATGGTTCTCTCTGAATCTGGACTACCATCTAAGCTAGGGAGAAGAAATCTCTTAACCATAAGGATGTGCCTGGCATCTTCCAGAAAGGTGTGTGTCTTCCAATAAGCAACTGTTTATTGAGTGCCTACTTTGTGCCCAGTGCATCTCATACATATATGGGAAGCTATTATTGATAAGGAATTTAACTTCTACTCAGGGGAGAAGATGAAAGAAAATGGAACCTTGGCTTTGCATTCAGATCCCTTAGGGATTCCAGTCCATCGGTTAGACTACTAAATGGGAATCTCTGAATGAGGGTCCCAAGCATCAGTATTGTTTTAGAGCTTCCCTAATGATTTCATTGTGCAGCCAAGTTTGAGAAACACTGATTTAGACTGTTAGAATTGTAGACTGTCAAAGAAATTAAATAGAGAATAAG